ATCACTTGATGTGGCATCAAAGGCAACATCATTTGGCATAAAATGAACCAAAATAAATAAGATTTAGATAGAGGTGAAAAAAGGGATAAAAAGGAAATACAACTGAAGAGTGTGCGATGTTATATTGTGGTGTGTTATGCTTCATATGTTATGTTATTTATTCTTATGTTATGGTTATGTTATGTTATGCCAAGTACTAAGCTAAACTCCCCTCCACTTAACCCATTCCAACTAATGTTATTTTAGCTCATTCAACTTACATAAACTATCCTTAATTTTATCGGTTGAATTTCAACCGCTGGGCGAACACTAGTCATTATAAAACTCATTATGTCAGGAATATTTTGATGATCATATCCACTATATGTCGCAAAATCTCGGTCTCCGGCACGTGGTCCTTCAAGCGATCGAGAAAGCGCTGGCTCCGAAAAAAACAGAGTTGGTTATCCGCAAATCCAGAGGTCAGGATGAAAATCTGAGTAGCTTCGGTGGGCTAGCAATAATCGTAGAAGCGGATTTCGAAAAACGCAAACTTTTCTCTCTTTTTTTTCTACTTTATTACACGTAATTGATTTTTATTTTATTTTTTTTTTTTTTTTTTAAACACCGAGACTGTGCACGCGTTCAGCTAGCTAGCCACCAGAAAAAGGAAAGAAAGATCGTCGCGGAAGTTGATCTTAAGCAGAGTACTTTCCCGCTACGGTATCGGTAATTCGTGATTGAATGTCATATGTCCAGCTGGACCTTAGGGAAGTATACAAGCTGTGTTTAGTGTGAATAACGAGTACAGTGGTGGCGCGTAATATAAGGGAGTTGAATTTAAAAGTATTGAAACAAAAATTCTGGGAATAAAAATAAAAACTAGGAAACGCGTAAATAAGGGTATAAGAAACTCATGTTATACTCACGGTACACACCCCCCACCTAAAGTGTTGGTACAGTGTACGCTGCTTTTATCCTCTTGAAGCTCCTTCCTATGAAAGATTCCTCGCTTTTTACTTTCTACATCCTCAATTTCATACATGCAATTGCCTTTCACTTTAGTGACTTTTGCCTTTATGAACTTTGGTGCTAGTTTCGCGCAAAACTTCCGTGCGGCGTTACTCAGTACAAAGTTTCTTCGATAAACTATATCACCTTTATTAAAAGTTTTAGCAGTGCTTCGCAAATTATACCGCTTGGCCGATGTTTCAAATGCCTTCTTTATATTTTCTTCTACAGACTTGCGTATAAGTTTTAGTCTATCCATCCTGTCAATGACGTTTTCGTCTAGCGCTTCCAACCTACGAATCACTACATATTCTTCGGAGTGCGATAACATTTGTTGTCCGAACAAAGCATAGTAAGGGGTACATCCGATGGACTGGTGGTA